ATAAGCAAACTAAAATTTTTGTCTTATAATATAAATACAAATATTGCAAAAATATAATCCTTATTTTCAAATATTATCATGTTAAATTTTATTTAAATATTTTAAATAATTAAAAAAAGTAAATCAGAGATATATTTATAGTAATTATACAGACAAATTTGCCTGCAAATCTCTACCAATTAAGGGATATATATGATTATATTATACTTTTGGTCTTGGCTTTGTTAAATACTTTCAAAGATCGCTTTTTAGCATTATTTTTAATGTTTGCAGCTTCTGTAGTTTTGTTAACAAGATCATTACTTCGGTTTTAGCTTCTGTAGCTTTCTTAACAGGATTGTTGCTATTAAATAATAATGATGTAAATTAAAGTAATCGATATTATAATAAAATAATTAGTCTTTTGAATATCCATAACTATTATAGTATATTAACATACTTGGAACGTAACATGTGACTGCGACCAGAATTTTGAGGCTTTTTACTTGGTGTCTCTGATGCTTTATTGGTATAATCCGAACTGATGTCTTGAACTTCATTGGCATTTGGTTGTTAAAGAGTAGTTAATGGAGTATGGGAGACAGAAGTTGTACCAGAATCATTAATCGACCTTGTATGATTTTCTGAACTTGGAGTTCTAGTAACTTCTAAATGATAATTGTTATTGATAATCGAAATAAAACAAAAATTAATAATAGCAACATTTATATTAATAATTTATTATTATCTACTTACACTAGATCCAAGGCTAGATACGAATTCTTCAAGGAATTCATGCGTTTCAGTAGAAAAATCTTTATTTATAGAAAAAAAGATAAGTTTATAAAAAATAATAATGAATAATATATTATATCTTTATTATTTTTTTTGCTGTTGTAAGATAAATGACTATTCTTGTGTTTTTTTTGTATCATCTACTTGAAGGATAAACCAATCAGATTTTTATAGTTTCATATAATATTAACATTTTAATTTTGGCTAATGCATACAAACATTTATTGTTAATTATTCCTCTCATCATCCATCTAATAGCCCAGTCACAAGCTGTAAGAAAAGACCTTGGATTTTTGCGTTTGAACTAACAGAATACTTGGGTTTATTATTTTGAAAAAATATCAATAAAACAATTGAACTACATATCTTATTTACCCTTCATTTTTTTCAGTTTCTGATATTTTGCGATATTCAGGAATGCTCTTTTCATATTTAGCTGTTATCATTAAATGAAGTGATTCCTAGAAATAAATTAGTTAAACTATAAATTAAAATAAATAAAAGATTAGTGAAAACATGAATATAATATTATTACCTGATAATTATTATAAATAGGCTTTTCAATCTTAAGAAGTTTAGGAATATTGATATACGTTGCCTCACTTGGCTTTTCGATTGGCACTGGCTTTTTAATCGTAAAAACAGTCTTTTAGAATAATGTAATAGTAAAATTACCCAAGGTTATCAAATACATACAATAGAATCTTCATTACTAGTACTCTTTGTTTCTAAACTGGAACTATCCTTGTAATTTCTCTTATTAGTTTTGGAGTTTTTTTTCCTTTTTTTTTTTTTTTAGATAAGTTGTTATTGGTGTTATCTGAAATTTTGTTAATCTTATTTGGAGTTTCTCCAAAGTTTCTAATCGTTTAAGTAAAACTGAAAGTTGATTTGTTTCTGAAAGCCGATTATCTTTAAAATTTTGCTCGCTTCTTTCTGTTTCAAACTCTAAAATAGACCAAGTTATATCTTCTCCATCGCTTGTATTTGCACTATTATTATTTGCATATGTTTTTTTTTTATTATTACAAGTCATTGTTGCAGAGATAAATAATAGGTTATAGACTATTTCAGAAATATGGTAGGTAGGTTTTTTTAATAATAGACTTTCAATTAATTAACTTCAACAAACACTTTCTATAACACCAACTTATGTGACAAATCACAGAGCCCAAATAAAAAATGTATCCTTCAAGCAAAAAATGACGAATTTGAAGAGGTCTTATTTTTAAGAAGCAAGAACTAGACAAGGTTTAACTGAAAAATACTAAAGCTAAAGAAACCATTCAACTAACCAGTTATTTGATGATAAGAGTATATATTTATCTTGTATTTATCTTATTATTTTTTTTTAAATTAGAAAAAGAAATTTACTAATCATTATTTTCTCTTTTCTTTTATTCAAATATGTATTGACTACTGTACTGTTGATCTGACGTATTTTATATATTGATTATTAACCTGATTTAGCCTGATTTAACTAATAATTACATTACAACCTACCAATAAGAACTACAATATATTTATCAGTTACATCAGATAGAGCTAATGCATGCAGAGTCTATTTTTTTGCAGTAATCATTATAGCTAAAATTGAATAAAAAAATCGAATTTTTTTTTTTTTTTTTAAAGTAGTAAATCAAATACATGCCTTGCCATACTATATTAATAAAAAGTTGACTGTGAGTGTTAGTTGAGATCGATTAAAGAGGCATCATTAATAAGTAGAATTGATACGGGATTATAATTACAAAGCTATAATTTAATTTAATTTTAAATCAAAAAGGGTATTTGAGTTTTGAGCATCTTTGTTTTAAGAAGCAGAAAATTATTATCAAAATCCTGAGCTAAACGTATAGCATTAGGATCTTTTTTTTAAATAATCTGATTAGTTTTTATATTAATTTATATATACCATAATGTATACCATATATAGATATTTCGGTAATTTATATTTTATAATTTTTTCAATAGAAATTTGTTTAAAAAAATAATGTCTGAAACCTTGGTTTGGTGTACTTGCAGTATCTGCTCGCTGAATGATGATAGTGGTTCTTGGAAACTAAAAAGTACAAGAGTTAGACATCAAAATCGTGATAAACGAAATGCACTAAGTCCTAATAGTGATTTAGAATTGCAAAGCAGTATTCAGAAGCAAGATTCATGTGACTTTTACCAAGAGACATTTAAGCATGAACTTCATAACATTGAATATGTTAGTGAATTTGATAATAAGTTAAGAAACAATAATAGGTTGGAAAGTACAAACAAATTTGAGGATGGGTTAGAAAAAAATAATGAATTTGAAAGATTTGAAAGTATTGATGAATCTGAATATGAGCTAGAAAATAATATCGAATTTGGGTATGAATTAGAAAATAGTGATGAAAATGAGTGGAAAACAATATTAATTTGAAGACTATTTAGAAATTGATGAGGAATTTGAGAATTGGTCAGAAAGTGAGAGTAGTGGAAGTAATGATTCATATATAACCAATATGACTTTCGCAGATAATGAAGGTAATATTTTAATTATAACATCTATTTCAATAATAATAAATAAATAAATATAATTAAAAATCATTGATTAAATTTAAATATACATCAAAAAAATAACAATAAAATTTTAAAATTTTGTTTTACTAAATAGAACCTTTTATATCCTCTGAACTTGCTTCTATGATTCGACTACTTAAAATTAAAGTACAATATAACCTTACTGATGAAGCATTTTATGAAATCATGAAAGCTACAATAGCAAAGCCAATGAGCTTGTACTTAATTAAACAAAAGTTATTCCATTTAAGCCTACATGGATAGACGTGCGTATTAATTCATGTTGTGCTTATACGGGTGATTTTAAAAATCTTAATGAATGTCCTTATTGTAAAAAAGAATGATATCAAAATGGAATTTATAAAAGCAAAAAATATAAAGCATGTCGTCAGTTTCCATATTTTCCAATTGTTGACCATCTCATATATCAATATCAGGATAAAACTCAATCAAAAAATTTACACTATTGTGCAAAATATATCTCAAGGCCAGAATACTATAATACTGAAGTAATTGGAGATGTATTTGATAGACAAAGATATAAAAATCTTGTAAAAAGAGGATATTTCAAAGAAGACCATGATGTTGTATTATTAGTATCAATCGATGGCTTTCAGATTTTTAAACATAAAACGGATGATTACTGGATTTTAATATTTATAAATGCTAATCTACCTCCAGATCAATGCATGAAAAAAGAAAACCTTCTCATATCTACGATTATACCTGGGCCTAAAGCACCCAAAGATCTAAATTCATTTTTATCACCTGCTGTTGCAGAATTATGTCTATTAGAAAAAGGAATAGAATGTTCTGATATTCAATATGATGGTATGTTTATATTGCATAGATGTGTACTTTCTTGGTTTGGTGATACACTAGCACTTACAAAGTTAATGGGTTTAACAAGACACAATTCATATAAAGGATGTTGCTACTGTAATATTAATGGTGTTTATTATTCACATGTGTATTATCCTACCAAACCACCTAAAGGTCAAGGTAAAACTTATGATTCGGCAAACTTACTACTTAGATCTCACAATGAGTATAGAAGTCAAATACAGGAAATTCAAAATGCACCAACAATATTAGAGCAAAATCATGTAATTAAACGTTATGGAATTTCTTCTAAAACAAGTATTTTATTTAATATCAGCTCTACTAGCTTTCTAGAAACATTTCCAGTAGATATTATGCATCTATTTTATGAAAATATTGCTGGTTACATGCTTGCTTATTGGATGGGGTCATTTTTTACTAATAATGATCAAAACAATGGTGAATATATTTTATCTAAAGAAGCATGAAATAAAATTGGAAGCGAAATAGAATCAGTTAAAAAAACAATACCATCAAATCTTGGCCATCCATTGCAAGATATTGTTTTACATCATAATAGTTATAAAGCAGAAGAATAGTCGAATTGGATCACAATGTACTCATTACTATTTCTAAAAAATAGACTGTCAAAAAAGTATTATAAGAGCTAGGGATTGTTTGTAAAAGCAGTTCGATTATATCAAAAACAAATAATAACTTATGATGATTTAAATAAAATTAAATTATATTTATTAGCTTTTTATTCACATTATGAAAAAGAATATTACTGTGGACATTTAGAACGTCTAAGTGCAATGAAAATATGCATACATTATATGTTACATGTATTTGCAAGTATTTTACAAACAGGTCCTTGTTGTATGACATGGCAGTATCTGATAGAATGGGTATGTGGAATGTTACTTCCACTAGTAAAATCGAAGCTTCATCCTTACAAAAATCTTTCTAACAATATTTAATTAAATGAAATGTTTAATTGCTTAAAATTTAATCAAGTAATTTATAATTAAATTTTTTTCTCAAGTCCATCTAAAATCCATGATGAACATCTTGCTTATACCAGAGAAAGTGGTCAAGATTTTTATTTTCCCTCAACCAATTACAAGCTATCACAAAGCGAATTAAGAAAAATCAAACAACATTTCTCTACTATATCAGATGTATCAGGTTTACAACTTATATCATTTAGTCATGAAGGAACAAAATATGGACGACTTAGAACAAAAGATGGTCATTATATTGGATCTAAATGGATTCATCGAAATGAAGATTGGTCACGAATTAATTATACTGTTATGGTAAAAATTGAAGTTGATATTTATGCAAATTATCCAAACAGACCATTGGTATTTAAAATTCAAGATTTTATACTGTTGTTGAATATTATTTATTATATGAATTTGAAGAGTCTAAAGCAATGTTAGCTTATATTCAATGGACATCTCCTATTGAAGAAGATGATGTTGGTGTAAAAATGTTTAAGCGATTAGGAGCATATGCATTTATTAATGCATCAGCAATTGATCACTGCATTGGGTTTATTGAGATTGGAAATTTATTTTATATAGTAGATAAAGAAGTTGACAATGAACAATAATATTTCTTTAAAAAATTATTATTTTTTATTTGTACTATATTATATAGTCTATAATCAATATAATAAATGCAATTAAATATAAGTTAATAACACTATTTTTGTTCATTTACTGTACAATTACAATATAATTTTTGTAATATAGTAGCTATTATAGTTACTAATATAATAAAGCAAAAAATACTTTGCAGTTTTTATACAAATTATATAACAAAATAACCAGACAATTATGTTAATTAAATCATTGTATGATTATTCTATATGATTATTAAATAATTATTGAACAAATTTATAAAACTGTATAATTTTTATACAATTGTCAGTAACTTTATAAATTTTGGTTTTTACACACTAGTACAAATACTGTACGATATTGCTTCTATTTCGAATGAAAACTATATAAAGGCTAACAAAACTATAATATATTTAGGACAAACTTTTTTTATAGGGAGGTTATTTACCATCACTGGTTCATGCTAATATGTAAATCTCCTTCCGCCTCTATTGATTCAAAATGACATTCAATTTTATACAAAATGATATTTAAATTCATACAAAGTAACATTCAAATCTCTACAAAATAATAATTAAAATAAGGTTGATTAAATCGTTATATCTCGTGATCCAGTAATCGGATGATTTTGGTATTATTTGAATCGCCACATCAAGAGGATTCGAATGGTACCAAATCATTAAAATTGGATTACTAGATCACGAGGTATCACGATTTAATCAACCTTATTTTAATTGTTATTCTGTACAGATTTGAATGTTACTTTGTACGAATTTAAATGTCTCTTGTACGAAATTGAATCTCATTTTGTATGAAATTGAGTTTTATCAAATTCTGCAGTAATTAATAATCTTTAGATTTGGAGAGTTTTGTTTAATTCTATTTGGATTGAACCTTAATACGGATGCTGGCGTTGTTGTTTATTTAAATGGTATTGTATTTAGA